ATTAAAATCCTAGAGAAACACTACACATAATGAAAATACTCTTTTTTACAATTCATTACAGCATAAATAAGCTAACTGAAATGTTTTGGTATAGAAAAACCTAATGATAAAGACATACAAATTATTGCCATAATGTAAAAGAAGCAATTTATACTTTAAAGGTAAGCAGCATGAGCATACTTCCTTATCCTGATCACAGATGTGGATATTCAGATCAGAAACACACATAATGAAAATACTCTTTTTTACAATTCATTACAGCATAAATAAGCTAACTGAAATGTTTTGGTATAGAAAAACCTAATGATAAAGACATACAAATTATTGCCATAATGTAAAAGAAGCAATTTATACTTTAAAGGTAAGCAGCATGAGCATACTTCCTTATCCTGATCACAGATGTGGATATTCAGATCAGAAACATGTTACATGTATACCATTAAAAGTTGTAAAAGCAACAATATTGCAAATACAGTACTATGAGCATTTCATCTCTAGAAAACAATGCTGATATATAAAGTATATAAAACCATACATCACTTTATACTACAACTGCACAATTACAGGCTCTAACAAGAGATCTCCTCTTGCTTCTGCTTTGCTTTCTGTCCTGGCATTGGTTTATGGTTGAAGAAAGAATTATCTCAAGTATTATGTTTGCTAAGATGCTCTTAACTTAAAGATGCCTTCCTTAATCCAAATCCTTCTCAACAGCCTGGAATTTGCACACGGGTCCCAATTCCTAAATCTATTCCACATTGGAATAGAAAAGTGAACTAGGTGCTGCAACACAGTGAGCCTTTCCCACGAAACAACTGAAGGGACACAGTATTGCCACTGAGAAATAATCTCTATGAACAATGATTTCATTAGGTTTATATTCCTACCACACATCTTTTGTCTCTGTGCTCAGTGAGATTATTGGAAAGTGTAACAGAAAGAAAAATTGGATGTGAGATACAGTGGGAAGTTGTTCCTTTCATACCCTCTCTGAACCAGCAGCCTTTGTTCAGTGCTGTCCAACTTTAAACTATGTTTTAATAAGAATAGATTTCAAGCCATTGCCAATCTCACACTTCAGCCTTCTACAGTTAATATTATCAGGCAGTTCTAGGAGCTGTGTTAAGTAAAACAGGGCAGGAAAGGCAGCAGTTAGTGCAATCACTGCAGAGCAGCACTCTGTAACCTTTCACAGATGGCACTGAATGCAACAGAGCTCACAATTTAGTTTTTTAGCTTAGATTAACACTTGAATGCATTTTATCTGCTGGAAAAAAAGGCAGTCAAGTCAGACACCACAAAGCTGGCAAAGCAGGAAAAAGAGACACAGCTAGAAGAAAAAAATTGCAGCTTCAAATTACATCATTTTCTTTTGCCACAAGAACCCACACCCACCAGCTATTTTCCTCCCACAGATTCATCTCTCATTTTCTATCATGACCATCCAATGACTTGGTCAATACCTTTGACCTGAGCTCCAGTCTTGCAACACTTGCATAGACATAGGAATTTACTCACGTGAGTAGTGTCTTTGGTTGCAGTAAGACAATTCATCAGATGTAAATCTCTTGGGATTGCTGGCTTTACTTTGTTAAGGTGAAGCAGGAGGTTAAAATAACTTTGTTCCTGACAGTTTCACAAGGAACTGTACAGTGGCAAGGAGAAGAAAAGAACCAAGCATTTGACAGATTCCTTAAAAGAATGACTTAATTTTTAAAAGACACATTGAAAATGCTAACGGAAATATAGAACCAATCTTTGCCCTGCTTCCTCTCCACGGTGCAAACAGAAGTTGCCCATGTTGTGAAAGAGAATTTTAGAAAATTAAAACGAGTATTTCAAACTAACACATTCTTCCCTGTCATACACTGTGCCAAACTGTGCATTATCAGACTTCTGCTGTGCCACTTCGAATGATTCATGAAACACATGACATTATGGTACCTCACGATGCACATCCTGCTGGGATTAGTGGCACTGTAACAGCTCTGAGACTGAGGAACACCATGTTCTGTGCATATGGCACCCTGAATTCACAGGTCTCAGGACTGCAATGCATCTTGAAAAACCCAGACCCGCAAACCTGGTCTCACAGGGGAGATGTGAGTCAAGACATCAAATTCTGGTTCTGTCTATACATAACCTCCTTCCAAATGGGAATATGTATATACTGAAAAATGAGTGATGCACTAGAAAACCAACAGCCATTTCAGAGTGCTGCGTTATGGTTCTGGAGGATTTGTGGGACAGCATTTCTATGGGTTTGAGGACAAAGGTTTTGTGCCACTAGCAGCACAGGTGTCTGCTAGCTGTAAGAAAAGTGTGTGTGGGGGGTTGTAGGTTTTGTGTTTTGGTTTTTTTAAAATATATATAGGTTTTCTGTCTGGGTTTCTTAACTGCATTAGCCTAATACCACAGTGTGAGAGCTTTCTGCAAACGGGAGCGATGAGAAATAAAATCAGTGGATGTCAGCAGTGGAAGCACTCTCCTAAATCCCTGCCAGAACCACATGACTCTCCTCTCAACTTCCTCTGCTTTTCACAATCTTTCAGGATCATCCTTCTCAATTAAAAGACCAAGTCAGGATCCAGCTTATACTGTTTTAAACTATTTGACAGAAAGTCTCTGCTCAAAAGGCAGACAATTATATGCTCATAATTCATGAACAGAATTATCCACTAATCCTAAGTAACACTGTTCTTCATGATTTTCACTTGAAAATTAAGTATATAAAGCACCAAAGAAGCAAATTTAAAAGGAAAAAAAGAACAATTCTTTTTCTGCTTAGAACAACACGATGTATTACCAATGTATTACTTAGCTGTGACTAAAACACTTAAAGCATTTAAAAGTAAAGAGGTTTTGTTTCCAGCAATGTTTGGGATGATCTATTAGATGATAAACAAGCACTAAAGCTATGTGCTGCACATGACAGACCAGGCTGGAGAAGACATCATATCTACTTGTTTTCCTCTTCGAAAACAGATGCATGACTTCAAGCCCAATGTCTATATAAAAGAAGTCTTTGAGTTCAGTAGGAGGTTTGCTGTATGAAAAATAGGAAATAGGACATTAGCAGCCTCCAGGACCCCAAGGAACGAAGCAGTTTCAACTTCCACATGAGTCCATGGAAATGATGGCTGGCTGGGTGACATGCAGGATCAGGGTTAAAAGTTGTGCAAACAACTAGAGCCTATTTTCATACCCCAGAAAATCAGCAGGATGCACGTCGTGAGTAACACACTTCACCAGCAGCAAGTACTCACAGAAATGCTCCCAACTCATTCCATTTAGGCAGTCATAAAATGAAACAATAAAAACACATCAAAATTTGCATGAGAATCGATGAACATTTGAAGACAGTTTCAGCTTGCACACATAACCTTTCCACCATCACAGCAATGAATAACATGATGTGTTTTGCAACTACCCACCTAAAATTTATATTGCACTGGAATAAATGTCTTGTAAAGAGTCAATTACAAATTGCTTTGGTCTATTTGTAGCTGAATTTATCACTAAAATACAGAAGAATTATCAAGAAACCTGACAGAAGTTTAAAATTGCCAAAAAGAATGTGCATTTGCTTACAATACATTTTATTTGTGTATGGCATTATGACTTCAAAGAATACTCTTAGTGATTATAAATAAATGCTTTATTTCATCAAATTGGTGCAATCTTACCTTCATCCCATTAAAATAACTTTGAAAAGAGTTTGATCCTGTCGTTCTCATTTCCTAGCTGTATGTAGAGCTTTATATTTTATGACAAATTGAAATATTACAATCAAACCATCCAAAAACTAATAGAACTCAAGAAAATAACAGAGAGACTGGCTAATCAATAACATTCCAAGTTAGACATGGCACATCAGCTCCACTGTCTAACTGAGAATATTACTTGAAAATGAAAAATCCTTCCCGACAACTAGAGAACAAAGATGAAATGTTAGTAGAAATAACAAGAAAAAAGGAAATAAACCCAACAAATCATTGTATTCAAAACAGTAATCAGTCACTTTCAAAGGGTGTTGTCTCTTCACTCTATTTCAGAATTTCTATTCCAAGTTTTGACACATCTCCAATAACACAAAAACATTATCTCCTTTGTTAGAGCAAAGGAAAAGGAGAGAGTCTATACAGCTGCTGGTCCTACACAGCTTGTTCATGCCACATTACACTGGTTGGTTCTCAAACTGCTGCACGGAGTTTCTGAAACAACGTCAGAGCATGGAAAGTCTTGAGGTGGTTTCTACTCTTTTTGATAATGATATGATATTTACAACAACAAACAAACTCCTGACTTAGCTTCACCTCCATTTGCATAACCACCAGAATCTACTCGGTTCGGATCGTTCAGTTCTTCAAACAGTCCTGTCTCAATGATTTCTTCCTGCCAGGGTATAGGGACAGCACCCGTCGCAAACTTTTTGAAGAACTTCTTATCTTTGTCGTCAAAATCAATTCCTCGTACTTCAGAGAAGTCAGCAATGTCTGCAACATCTTTGGCATAGACAACTGATGGATCTGGCACAAATGGAGGGTCGACAAGGTTTGCCTCTAGCCTGTGGAAATTTATTGTTTTGAAGAACTTATGTTTTCTTGGGTCATCATCTGCATTTCTGCAATAAAGCACAAGTTGGTTAATCAGTATGACCATCAGAGAGATACAGGTGTGTGTTTTGTACACGGGAGGACTTTAAAATTATCATTTATATTACAGATTTATATATCTCATGCAACACAATTTTGTGTTTCCTAGCCAAAGAATGCTGCATTGCACAATGCAGCCAAAGCTGAGAAGCAGAAAACATTCTGCTGCCATTACTCACTCCTCCCCCTCTGGGGGTGTCTCTGCGGGCGAGCTGCGGTGCGCGCCGCGGTGCCGTGCCTGGCTGGGCACTGGGACACCCACCCAGAGGTGCCTTCACCGCAACGGAACGCGGCACAGGGAGTGTGGGGCTGACTGCCAGCAGGGTACATTCAATGACTGGCTCCGTGGTAGCTAGGAAAAAATATCTATCCTATATTCTAGGATGAGAATATCTATGCAGCTCTAGATCGGGGTACGTTGGGATAACACTCCTAGAGACTGACAAATGACATTGTTGGTCTTCTTTTAATTCAAAGCAGCTATTCATTTACATCATAAAATTCATGTCACTCAAACACTCCTTTCAGTGAGCCTGCTCATTCAAAATTACTACTCTTGAAAATGAACAAAGACTTTTATAGGCAAGAGACTAACAAACTATGACACAAGTGCCATGAGGAGAGGCTGAGGGAGCTGGGGGTGTTCAGCCTGGAGAAGAGGAGGCTCAGGGGAGACCTTCTCACCCTCTGCAACTCCCTGACAGGAGGTTGGAGTCAGGTGGGGGTTGGTCTCTTCTCCCAGGCAACAGCAGCAGGACAAGAGGGCACAGACTCAAGCTCTGCCAGGGGAGGGTTAGGTTGGATATTAGGGAGAGATTTTTCTCCAGAGAGAGTGCTCAGGCATTGGAATGTGCTGCCCAGGGAGGTGGTGGATTCACCATCCCTGGAGGTTTTCAAGCTGAGACTGGATGTGGCACTTAGTGCCATGGGCTAGTGACCACAGTAGGGTTGGACTCAATGGTCTTTGAGGTCTCTTCCAACCAGGTTGATTCTATGATTAACAAAGTGTGTGTGTCACTGGCACAAACACAATCCTTTATTCCTACTGTTAAAACCCAATAATAAAAACCAGAAAGGAGTAAATCACTGCAAATACTTCGGTTAAATACATCTCATGAAAAACACCTGCAGACCTCAGGGAGAACTTTAGCTGGAAAAGAAACAGTGAATTGTTTCATTGTGGACCCATAGAGATACTTGCAGGATATTCAGATAAGAATCATCTGAGCCTCAAGTGTGTGCTCACTGAAGCATGACCAAGGACCACAGCTTTTGACCTGTGCTGTGGAATCAAGGCGTGCGGTCCGAGCTCTGAATTCTAGCGAAAGGAGGAGCAGAGAGGAGCACTGCATTTCCCACACTTATGCATTCTTTTTTGAATGTGTTTATGGATGTGCTGCTTCTGAAAATGGTAATATAGCAAAGCCAAATTTGTCTGGGTTTTGGACTCAGCAAAGGGTAGTTCCTAACACCTTGCTTTTTGCTTTTCTCACTTCCTTACAAAATCGGATACTTAGCAAAGTATAAGCCCTCATGTATTTCTAGACAATGTTCTATGAACAAAATGTAATACAAACCTTTTGCAAGTGTTTTTACCTTTGCAGGTGCAGAAGCACCATAAGGAAATAGGAGATTTGTGTGGCTATGGATAAATCTTCATTTTTAAAGGCCACATGAACACAACTGTGAATGTACAGATTAAGCCAACAAGGATCATGACCTCTGCATATACAGTCTTGCAAAATCTCCTGACTTACCTAGCTAGTGATGGCCAAGTACTTGAGCAGCCTGACATTTATTTACACTCACTGTCAGCCTGAAGTGCATTAGAGTAGCTGTTCAAATCCACTAGTGTCCTGGCACACTGGTGGGCTAGTAGTGCTGGCAATTCTACACACAAAAATTTCCCTTGATCTGTAACATAAACCAAAAAGCACTAGAACCAGGTGAAGGCTCCAAAATGGATTGCTGCAGTGTTTCTCCTCCTGAAACCATAAGAAGTTTAGAAATGTAAAGCTACATGAATGCCATCTACTGGAACTGAGGCATCTTCCAACTAGCTGGAGATGAACTTAAGCTCTTCCTGTGTGAACTGTATTTTTACATAACTTAAATAGAAAAAAAACAAATGAACTCATGAAGTTGGTCTATTTTGCATTCTTCCATCTAGAAAAAAAATTGTTTAAAAATTACTTTACAGGTTTGGGATGTGAGATGTCAATCCCAAAAAGCTCGTGGAGAAAAAGGGTTACATATTTCTTGAGTTAGCTAGTGAAATTGAGCCTTCAGTAGAGGAGTGTTTTAAAAGGTCAGGTGTACAAAGTAAAGCTGTCTTTGAGCAGCTTTAACTTATGCAACAGGCACTTACAGAGATAACCAAAGCTCTTGTTGTTCTTGGTAGAATTACAGTGCTAATCTTTACATAAGGATGAGCTGTCCTGAATAGTATTGTCCTGTTTAAGAGGTACATGCAGGTTTTTATTCTGTATCATGCCCAAGCAGGGGATATATCCTCATTGTTGTCCTTCTCTACCTATTTCACATGAGAGTAAGGATATCTTCAACAGCAGCAAATTAAAAACAGTATGTGCAATTACCTTTCTGGGTACATTTCTCCCATTGCTGAGAAGTAATGGAACAATAAGCAGACAGTATGTTTGCAAATTATTCCCTTGGCAAAGGGGATGTGGTTACAATAAGCGAATTGTCTGTTGCTGGTCTTGCTTCAGACTTGCTGAATGAACTTGACCAAGTCACTCACAATCCTTAAATTTCATTTTCCCTTACTCTGAAAGCTGTTTACTTCACAAAATGCTATACATGTCTCAGAGTGCGTGGACTTAAAATTGTTGGAAATCTTTTTGTGTCAAATTTAATTTTAAATTGTTTAAAACATATTCAAATTATGTAGATTTTGTATTAAACGTACTCAATGTATTGTTGAAAATAACTTTTTTTTCTGCCACCTTGCATAGCTGTTGAGAAAATTCATCAGGCAAAGAGAGTAGCTGTCTTCAGCTACCACTAGAATAATAAGAATATGCACATTAATGATACATTACCTTTCATTAGGGTTAATTCTTTCAGACAAATGCTTGCCTGACATTTTGAAAAACTGTTCCACATTGTTATGAAAGATAAATTTAGAAGACTATCAATGCATTTTCAAAAAGCTCCTTTGTCTGTTCTACCTTTAGCCTGGAAAAGCACCCAGTGCATGTATTTGTATTCACAGATGATTCAGATCCTGGTGTGTTCTAAACCTAGGTACTATCAGTTTCCTATTTTTTTTACATTTTGATTAGATTTCTTTTATTTTTGTCTATACTGCAAATGTGGATCCAAAATCTGTCTCACTAGAAGTGCACTGAATGATTTATATATATATGTGCACACACATGTACCAGAGGGATCAGAGAGATTCCACGTTAAACATTTCAAGGTTTAGCTGTGCAATTTTCTTCTTATTGGACAGTTACTTGAAATTGCTAAGTCAGGGAGACATCCATCAGTCATCATCGACCCAAAGCCACTATGAAGTCCCCCAAAATGTTTTGATTAGAGGAATTTGTGCCAAATATTCTTCTCCTCCTTTGCCTCCCTGGGATGAGTCAGGAAGACCAGAGCCTCTTGCGAGAGTTTTTTAAAGCACACGAGTTAAACAGAAGGGTTAAGGTCTCCTCACACAGCCTTGCAAGTCAGATATCTGCAGGGAAGAGAATCCACACTACAGATTTGGATTTCTGCCCACATCATTCCAGTAAGTGATGCAGCCCAAGATCCTGCACTCAGTCTGCACTAGCATGGATGCAGGGATCTACTGGAATACCCTTTAGCTTGAGGAAATGCAATGAAAATGGGTTGCCCCCTTCTCCCAAAATGATAGAGTGTCTGACACAGAAAATAACAAGAAGGGATCTCCTATGAGTTGCCTGAGGTGAGGCTGGAAAATCACACTATTGCAACACAATTCCTTATATCCATACTATCTTTGAAACTTTCCAGCTCTTTCTTCCTAGAAGTGAGAGAGAAAATTCAGTGCTCTGTAGAAAGTGAAGATCTAACCCATTTTGTGCAATATGTAAAATAATGATATCATTTGCAGCTTTAATCTTTATTTCACTGAGCTTGAGAGGGCATTACCTGCTTCCTAAACGGTCCTCTTTTTTCTTAGCCAAAAACAGTCTGCAAATATCTTTGGCTTCCTCTGTGAAGCTGGCATGTTCGAATTTCACCTCATCTTCCAGAGTTCTTCTTTTAACCTCATCCTTATTGACCTTCTCTTTGTAATCCTTGAACGGTGTTCGCCCAGCTACCATCTCATAAATACTGCAGCCCATAGCAAACCAGTCCACAGGATAGCTGTAGTCTTCCTCCTTCAGGATTTCTGGAGCCATGTAACCATTTGTCCCAGCCTGTCGCAAACAGACAGACAGATTTACTGTACAATGCCAGTAATGAAATGCATACAGTTAAACAGACGAGTCTGCAATTCTTCCACATAGTAATACTACTCATACCTCGTGGATCTAGAAAGGGTGAGGTGTGTAACTCTTTTAGCACTTGGACTATGTCTGTCTTTAAACATCTTGGCATATGGAAAAACTGTCTCAAATATGCTTTTTCAAGGTGAAATATCTGTGCAACTTCTACCTAAAAGTGGTTTGGTTTCAAATTCACATCTGGGTTGCTTTCTTCTTCCATATTATTTATTTTTCCTGTTGAAGACCGTGTCCTGATCTTTGTCCTGAAAACACAAGTAGCAATCAATTTGAAAGGATTCAAAACAGGACAAAAATCAGGGAAAAGAATCACTGATTCCCTCCCTGTTCCATGTTTATAACTGGTCCAACACAGGGGTCTGCTGCCAATGAGAAAATTCTCCTCGAGCTGGTGGCTGAGCTGCACGAGGAAGTTCTCACCCACCTCCCTCTTGCTTTCTGGGCGGAAGTTCTACGATCAAGAGCCAAGAAAAACTTTGAAAACCATTTTAAGAAAGTAAACTGATGAAAATTGTAATTCATCAATTACATGCATTTGGGTGAAAGGAGTAGTTCAGGTTTCCTGAGTTCCCCAGAGCAGGCTGGGCACGTTCCCCTCGGGGGAGCAGCTCCTGCTGCCTCTCTCCCCTGGGAGCAGGTTCACCTTGCAGGGAAGTGAGGAGGCTTAGCTGCTCCACATGCTTTCTGCCCACTGTTACATGACTGAGGATGGGAGATTTTGACCAGAACAGCATTCCCCCAGCTGACCCAACACTTACTGCTGCAGCTGATGCTGCATCTTATGTATTTACCAGACTCAGCTCACAGTGATAACTGTCAGAAGTTGCTTGAACCTCTCCTGTCTTGTAGAAATACTGGGCCTGATGTATTACAAGCATTACAACTTACAGTGAAAAACTGTTTGTGCAAAACCCCACTAAAGGTTATTCAAGACAGTCATTACTGGTATCAGAATATAAATAGTGACAGAGATTTACTCCCAAGCCAAATTGTCAGAGAAAGGTAACTAAAACTAGAGCTCATTTGGGCAAGTTGTATTTATAAAAAAGCACAGCTCAATAAATGAATTATATCTTATGGGATTGGGGTAACTCCTCTAATGTTTGCAAATTTAGTCACAGTATTTCCAAGTCATGTCTCCCTATAAACTTTAGCTGGTGTCACTACATGTTCTAACATGCACTCTGCTGTAAACCATGTATGCAAGAGGGAACATCTTAGCATCAATTACAACAGAAGCCTAATGGACAGTAAATTAAATCCAGTTTGTTTCCCTCTTTGTATTTTTTTTACTTTTAGGGATATAGAGCAAAATCCTCCATTTGGTTGAAAACCAGAAATGAGATTAGAAGAACAGAAATGTCAGCCAGGCTGAAGCAAAAGAAAAGGTTAAAAGTGAACTGTTGCCTCCCTCCCTGAAGCCACAGACGTACGAAGGAGCTGTACAGGCACTGCAGCAGCTGACATCATCCCACAGGCAATTTGTACTGCTTACATTGCATTCCTCTACATACAAGTTATTATCGAGAGGTCCCCTGACAGTGTTCCATTTTTAGGTATGATTACTGCTCTGTTCAGAGAAGGGGACAAGTGCTCAAACACAGACCACTCCTCCCAGATCCATCTGGCCTCAGATCATCATGAAACCTGGAAGGGAGTGGAGGGGTTGAAAGAAGAAGATAAATTTTGGTACAAAAGTATGCACATGGAGCTCATTGTGGGTTAGTGAACACAGACTCTAAATAGGCTTCTGCAATATTTTTTGTCTTCTTTTTTCCCCCCCCCCCCTTCCTTCTGGGAAGCAATAAACATTTTTACCAAGATGAAGCCAGGGCACTAATGCCTTGAAGAACTGATGAGTCATATTATCATCAAAATGTACCCTGGCAGCAGAGTATGGTCTTTCTGATAAGACATTACTTTGCTGCAACTTAGCATCATCATACAGGACCTGGATACATCTGACATGGAGAAGTCAGAATTCTACTGTCACCACCATGTCTCAAGGCAGTCCCTTTCAGAATGCCTCTTTTTCCTTTCACTTGTGTTCTTTCTTCTGTAGACTTTGTTTTTCAAAGGAAATATTTGCCAAGTAACTTCAGTCTCTTCCATGTGCATTTTCCACATGCTCTTCGGTAGGACACACCATTCTAGAAACACCATCAAAGAACACTGTGCTTTGACATGGTGCTCATGTTTCTCAAGCACAGAGAAACCAAGGCCATAATCACAGACCAAAAAGATTGCAACTGAATAGAAAACAGAGATGGACCAAACCCAGCCTCCCTTGGGACTGAAGCGACAGGCTGTGCATGAGCTTAACTGGGAATGGGAACTAAGCTGCAAAATTCTAAAGCAGTAGCACTGACATCTTTTGAGCTGTTACTGAGTTGACCCAGCTCAATCTGAGGAAGTCTAGAAACATATCATTCCTCAGATAATGCCAAACCATTTCAATTGAGAATTTCGTGACAGCTGGTTTTCTCATGGAATTTCATCAAAACTTGAGTCTAATCTTAAAGGAAATCTCTCCCAATCCTGAAGCTTTCCTACTATTCACAAGAAAGGTCAGGTTGAGAAGCAGGAATCTAAGATTAATCTCCTAACCCCTGAGACTCAAAACCTACTCACACATTACTATTTTGTAGCAGAAACAAACACATTTCTCAAGATACTTAAAGGGGAAGGAACACAAAACAAGCAGGGGGAACAAATACATAAATCTCTGCTATCTTTATCAAAACAGAAATTTGAAGAAAAGAAGAAAAGAGCTTAGATTTTAGTCTTTTCTGCTTATTTCTACATGTGTGTAGCTTTGGCAAAACCATTTGGGAAGAAAAAAGCTAAAGCCAAAAGCATTTGCTGTATTAGGGAACACAAGAAGTAATTATTCAGCCTCTGGAACTGGAATAACATACATCTTTCAAATGAAGATTTATTTCTGGCTTTGGGGAGTAGATAGCATTAGAGGGAAGCTAAAACCTGACATCCCTACAGGAATCATTAAGGAGAACAAGATGTCAAAAATCAGATCATCTTTCAAGGAAAAGAGATCCTATGGCAACAGAAAAGGCAGCCTCAATGACTCAGGAGAGGTTTATCTAAGTAGGTAAAGCAGAAGCTTTGTGAAGGGAGTTCTTAAACTCTCACTAGCAGCAGTGAGATTTGAGCAGGAAAAAATAAGGTATTAGGTGGAAAATGTGATTCCCAATGCAAAAGTGAATTAATGAGGTAAGTTACTCTCAGCAGTCCAAGGAGTATACTGCAAATTATACTGAAGTGTAAAAAGGAAAAGAAAAAGAAAAGGACAGAAAGCAAAAGGGTTAAAAACTACCACAAAAGGTAAATCATTATTTTTGAGAAGGGGTCTATTCCCCATGGGCTGCTCTTGAGCATTTAGTTTGGTTAGAATGATCTGACTGTGCCTCAGAACGGATACCCCTGAGTATGGGGTGAGTATGTCTATCACACCAAAAATCACTAGCTGTGTATGATTTTGCTCTTGTTTTGATTCAATGCAATCTGTAAGTAAATTCAGAAGCTGTTTATTAACTGAAACCCACTTTTTCTTACTAGATCTTATTTTACCTGGGTAAATCTCACTCTTTTAATGGAAACAGGGAAAATAAACACCCATACTCAGAGTTAACTCTTTTTTTGTCAGCTCTACACTACTGGAATGTCCACTGGGTTTTGCCTAAGACCAAGTGCATTATTTTCTTTTTTTCCATAGAGTTCCTGGTAAGACAAGGAACCATTTGAACATATGTGTTGACTGCTCAAGTGACCTTACAGAGACACACACACATGGTATTACACCTTCACTGTCCTGGAAGCATCTAATGGGACATATAAACCAAACAGAACAAAGAATGTTATGTTACCCCAACTATTTACAGAGACAAGGCAGAAATCATATGCCAACCTTTTGAAGGGTAGTCAGTGCCACACCTGCTAGTTTTCACTTGGTCTCTATATAATACTGGCTTTGGTGATGATGAGCAGGATGATTACCCTCATATACTGTTCAAAAATATAAAAACAGTCATTAAATTTCAGCCAATTAATTTTTAATTGACTTGCTTTTGAGAAGGGTTCACAGATCTATTTCTCCCTTTATTTCACTATCTTGAAAAAAACCCCAAACTACAATTTTTCAAGAATCCTCTAAAATGTGATGACCAAATGTTGCCCTTGGATACATTAGGGAAGGAGTTCTGTTACTTTGAGTGTGGTTTGACAGGGCACAGTAGAAATGACTCATCTGAAAGTATACAAATGTTTCTTTTGTGAAATGTGATCCTGCATAAATTTTTAAAAGGTCACATCATTATAATCTTTTAGTAATACAAGATGCCATCCTGAGAAACACTAAGTGCACTGGGTTCCCAGTGCAGTCAATGGGCACTTGGCACACCACAGCTCCGAGCAGGACGAGGCCCACAGTGCACTCACACATCCCATTCACACTGCTGCATCCCAGCAGGCACAAACAGAACTCTCTGGAGCTTTCATCAGCACAGAAACAGGCAAATGAGGAGAAAATGAGATTTAGAGCTCTCTACCTTTTCCCACAGATCTCTGCAAAACAAACTCAATTGGTATCACAAACCAAACAGTAAAGCAAATCAGAATGTCTATCTTTTGTTTGCCATGGCACAAGAACTGTTGAACAGAGGAAAAAAAACAAGCTGAGTTTAGCTCTATCAGCTGTTTCCTGGGGCTCAGTCCTTCCTTCCTCCAAGGGGTGCCACTGCCTGCTTTGTTCTCTTGTCCAGCTGTTCCTCCACTCCTTCAGCAATGGCCTTAACAGACCCTGCAG